ATATATATATATATATATATATATATATATATATACTACACGCAGCAGACGTTGGAGCGAACAGTGGAGAGAAAGGTCGGTAAAAAAGCGATCGAGCGATAACGTACCTGGCCCTCTCGCGTAAGGATCACGTCCCGCGGGAACTTGCAAGTAATCACGCGGCGATGGACTCGTGTGCGGTGCATGGGTGAGAGCTTTCTGCACTAGTCCTGTCAGGTTGGCCAACTGTCTCTCCATGTGTTCTACCCTTATCCTAGAGCAACGAACAAGCAAATATATCGGTTAATCGTTGTTAACACGAATAATATTCCGGTTCCCGCTATGAGGACGGAACCAAAGACGGAACGAAACAAATTCTAGGTCTAAGATCGAACGTAGTGTCTTTCCAAAAAAGCGTTCCACAGGATGCATATATGGTATGCTTATACATATAAAAATATATCAACTGACGATAATCAGAGTCGCGTGCAAGAATCGTTGCGCATAACCCGCGATGATACTTCTAAAGCCTACGTCGCTAGAACGCTATACACAAAAGCGCTCGATACACATTCTCTCTACGACCGCTAATCGGCATGCTACATTCCACCGTATGATCCGCAGTACACAGTATCACGAACGAAAGGGACCGCCAATTTTCCCCAAATAATTGTCCTTTCCGTCAGATACACGTTTATTTGAGAAAATTTAAATTTTCATTCTAAGAAAAGTCGACCGCCTCGAATTCGACCGGAGAATTCTGCGTTTCCGAACGCAGCTTATCTGTTTCCATGCATGCCTCGAGTATACACTATATACATGCACCGAACGAACAACGCCCGTTCCGGGGAGAATTCGTGTATTTTTCAACGAGATACGGTAACATCCATTTCCACGAATTGATCGATATTATTTTATTCGCGTTGTTATCGCATGCATCAATTAGAGTAAAGGAGAGAAACAGGAAATTCAAGATAGAAAGAAGGTAGAACGAGATAAAAATTATTTAACTTAAAATCAATTTAAACACAATTGTAATAAAAACTATAATAATCTGATCTTAAAACAATATTATCACGATAACATATAAAAAAAAATATTATATTTTTCTTGTTTCAGTAATCCAATAATAATTAAATCATTATAATACCAGGAAGATGGGAACAATTTGTGGTCGCATAAATGGACAAATTCGTGGCCATATATCTAGACACTAATGTACCATTGTTCAAAGCGAGCAAGCTTCCCCGGGTTAATGGAATCGACGAGAATGTCGATCGATGAACTCGAAACGCGGGATATCGTGGAATATTATCTCCACACAGGCACGAACGGACAGCGAACGAGTATAAATAACCGAGGCTAAGGGAGGCGAGGGAAGCTAGCACACTTTTCACTTTCCATAGTCGTTACTCTTTCGCTATCCTCCGTTCTGGCGTGATAGATTCGAATATCGTTTCCTTCCTTCTCCCTTGGAACGGGTAGTCGTGATATATCTATAGACGACGATGACGACGACGACGAGAACACAAGCGCATTCGTATACTTCTAACCAGACGATACATAACATTAAGTAGGTGCGACCGGCCACGATCAGACCCTGGATTCCGATCCGAAGGGCTGAACGCGGAATCCGGACTCGTCTATGTACATTTTATATATGTCGCGAATCTCTATCGAAAATTAGAGAAGGTAGCTCAGTACCGAGTAGCGTCGTAGCTCTGACTACCAGGTGGCAAAGGTGGTGGTGCCCCTGGAGGAAACGGAGATCGCGGAGGACCGGACGGTGGACGGCCTGGCGGTTTCACACCGTAAAGGCTGTACGATTCCTCCAACAGCTCCGTATCGCTGCACCACCCACAACAGAGATATACGTATCCGCGCTATCAGCCATCCACAAATCATTCGCGACAACGATTTTTCTCTTCGAGTCACGAATTATCTATCCTTTCGCACGCGTTGATTCTTTTCTTTTTATATTATTTGTATATATATATATACACAAAATTTATATATAATTTGTATGCATAAGATGAATTGTTTTAATACGAAATATCGTAATGTTAAAGGCCGTATCACGGACTCGGAAATATTCGGGTAAGATCGAAAGTCGACTGCGTCCGATCATTACCGAACAGACCCGAAGTCGGATAGCTATTTACATGTATGATTAGTTATATATTATTACTACTTAATTTAATGAAAATAAACTGTAATTTATTCCGTAACAATTTTACAAGTAGATAAAATATATGGATAAAAATAAATATTCCATATTAAGATTCACAATTCACCTTACATGAAAATGATAAAGGAAAAGTTGAACGATGAAGAAAAATTTAGATGATTGAAATCAGAATTACCGATGAAACGAGATGACAAACAACTAAAGAGATATTGTGAAACTCCGGTTACCTGGCTTCCTCATCAATGACAGGTGTCACGGTTCCCGAATATTGCGAATAGTACGGGTCCTCGTAGCTGCTTCCGGCGCTGTAAGGGCCGGGTGGGTATCTTCCCGATCCAGAGCCAACTCCTCCACCTCTTTCGGGACTGCTCATATAACCGCTTTCCCCATGCAATCGATCTGCAGAATCGCAAATATTAGCGCAAGGATATAGATGACAATTGCCTGCACATCATTTTTTCCGTATATGGAGAGAAATTTTTAGCCCTTGTCAGAGCATCGCGACGCGAGAGAATGAATGATCGATCAATAGGGGTCGATGGTAATACAAAATGTACGTTCCGAGCGTGCTTCTTACGGGATATCAAAATTCCTACGAATTTTACGGTGACATGACAGTGGGAGAGGACACGAAATCAGGTTTGATTGGCAATGCTCTACTTTAGATATTGTATGCCACATGAGGGAGGTTATGTTCGTCCAGAGAAATAGAGAAGTTATTTGTTACGCGTTAATTTACATTAACACGTAATTTAATTAAATCGAGTTAATAAATTTCAAAACGTTGTTGATATAATTTTCAGAATTTCTATTTAATCAATAAAATAAAAAAATAAAAATCGTGTGATATTTAATCTTTTCCATTTATCGCCAATTATCTATTATTATCGTTAAATAAATATTTCTAATGTTTCAAAGAATATAATTTATTTCTTTTTAAATCAACTTTTTTTTAACTCATTCCATATGAAACAACTCTATATGAAACTCGCTGCTACTCTTCCCGTAACGTACAATTTTCGGCAATCATCGGCTGAATTCGTACTTTTCCGCTCGAACGATTTTACGACCTCGGTATATCTCTGGACGAACCGTACGTATCACATTACAAAATACTTTGTACTGTCTTTCAAGGGGTCGCGTCTCGTTCGACCGAGTCTCGAAAAGCCAATTCCAGGATCTCTCTCCCTTTCGAAGCCGTTCCGTTACGACCAAACCGCCTCCATAATCAAACTTTCCTCGTAGATATGTAAGTATATAACCTCGCCTCTCGGTTTTATGTTCGCGAGTTTCACCGCGCTCGAATCCTTTCTCTCTCTCTCTCGCCGGAATCTCCTCGTCTTCTTTCTACTTTCGCGCACGAATTCGAGCAAGTAGTACGCGTGTGTGTTTCCAACGACCCATAACGGAAATTCTCGACCTCCTTTTTTTTCTTTTTTTTTTTTTTTCTCCCTCCAGTTTCGATCTTCGAACGAGCCACCACGCCACGTTGGACAAAATCGAATCGGGTTTCGGACGGAGAGAAAATCGCGATCGAGGATCGAGGTTTTCGAAGAAGAAGGAGGAAAGGGGGAGTTGTTTTAAGGATACTACTGACCTGCTATACTATAGAGGGAGACCGAGCTGTCTCTAGAGAAGCGAGCCGAGCCCCCCAGGCTTCCAAGGGGACTCTTACCACACTGGTAGCTGCGAAGCGGCTTGGCCGGCGGCACCCCGCCACCACCTATCCAACCATCCGGAAAACCAAACAAAAACTAATATACCCAGCTGATCCGGTGCACGTCGCGTTTCTCCCCGAATTCATTCCTTGCTAATTCGCTTGGCAAAAGTGCACGATTTCTATCATGATAGAAATGATGTTCGCGATTTCTTCTCTGTTTACTTTTGGAAACAATTAGAAGTTGGTCGGATATATTAAGATGGCGATAATAGGAAAGAACAGTGTGTAATCATCTGTAATATTAATTTATGATTAATTTAGACGTGTCAGAGATGTGTATTAGACTTATAATTTTTGTGTGTATGTGTATGTGTGTGGTGCCCAGAGGATTTGTTAGGAAGTGACTATGAGGATGGCGTAATTAATTTTTTTTTTATATTAAAATAAGCGAACGTCGTACATAGAATTTGTTTGAGAAATTACGAGCACGAAATTTCAAGCAATTCGTCATCTTGCCCTTAATAATGCAAATTCCCTTTTATTAGTATGCACTCTTCCAGCGCGTCATAGCAAAGACGCGAAACGGATCGTCGTCGATCGTTGTTCATTAACGACGATCGGTTCTCGATACAAAGTCTCGAGTCGACGAACGCAAATCGCGGAATCGAGACAATCTCCCGTGATCGCCGATCGAACGGACGGTACACGCGTACATCATACACGTACAAAGGATTCGTGCTTCCGTCCCCTTGAGGGGAAGGATATTCAAAGCTTTTACGGGCCGTGCTTTATGCGAAACGATTCGAACGAGTACGAGCGACAAACGCGATACTCGTTGGATCGTGACGGATATAGGGAACGATCGAGCATTGTTATTTGTTAATATTTAAACAAGCGAGGGATGAATGTTATGCACCGATGTTAGATAGGTACTCGATATTCGATCGAAAAGAGTCATTCACAGCGTGCTGAGAATATGTAATATGCATAGCGAGCACAGAGGAGTATATCAGAAGTCCTTGTTTCGTGTGTATCAACCCTCGGAATAAGTGGATAATGGAGTATTATAGAAGATGATCTATTAGTAGATCTAAATTGATTTACATGACTTAATCCGATTATGGTTTAACACCGACCAAAAATGATTTAGGATTAATACGAAGATTAATACTTGTAGAATGATAGCTGGCTAGTTTCGGAATATAATACAGACTGAAAATAATTCAATAAGTAAAATGATAAGAGATTAAGCATAATGAAAAATGTATTTAAAATGTGGATATTGTAAGATTATTATTCAATCATATCTATTCCGAGGATTAAATATATCGGTATTCAATTCTGTGTGATTTTTAGTATTTTAATTCGTATAATTTTTAAAACATGTGGATATTGAACTTTTATCGGAAATATTATGATTTAACGCCGAGAAGGAAAAATAATATTGTTGCTTTTGTCGTTGTTATCATTTAAAAAAAAAAATGTAATTTGATATTTTATGTCAAAACAGAGAATTAATTGAATAAATTTTAATAGCAGAGTTTTAATATATTTGTACATTCTCGAAATTGATAAAATCAAATTTCTGCATTATAAATTAGTATTCGTGTTTTAAAAATTACACAAATCAAAAAAGAAATATATGTTTAAATATAATTACCCACAAAAGTCTTCATACCTTATTAAAAAAAACCATCTATATTGTAAAATATTACTATGTATACTAAAAAGCTTAGTCTTACTTTATTACTTTGCACGTGCCTTGTCATACATCATGATTTGTGGATAACCTATAAATATGAAATAACACCCGGGACATAAATATACATATACTTATAATAAAAATTACACAGATTAGAATACTTGTAATACACGTGTTAATTAATATGATATTATTCAAAATTATGATTCTTTTAGTCATATCTACATTCACTTTCAAACACCTCCGAGGATACGAAGAAGGATCGTTGCAAAGACGAACGGATGCGTTACCGACCGAGTCGGTCGAAGCTAGAATAGATATGGCGGCAAGCATGGGATACAAGGTGACAAGTACAAGGTGTGAAAGCAATTACTTGGCGCGCGAGACTCGAAATCATTTGCATCGTCGTTTTGTCGACCGAAACAACGCCAAATATCAAACCCACCCTCGTGAAACTTACGTAATCGCTTCTATAAACGAGTCACGATTATCGCGGATATTCGTGTACCTGGAGTGGCGAGAGGTTTCGGTTGTGTCGGCGTCGCGTTTGGTCCTCCGACCACAGACGACGCCGCCGGACTGTACGCCCTCATTAGTTGTCCTCCTCGTGGCAGAGTGCTGCTTCCTCCAACGTAGTATCCGCTATTCCCGGAAGTCGAGTTCTTCGCCGTCTGAAACAAAAGTAGTAGTGTCATTCAAGCTTCTATTTTCCTTTTTTACGAATCTTAAAAGCTATATCTTATCTAAAATTTGACATATCATATTCAATGTTTTTAAGATATTTTGTAAACGTAATTTCACGTATATGTAATTATGTGTATATATTTGACTTTCTGGATTAAATTATTTTAAGTTCTTTTAAGATTTAAAATTTAAGATAGTTGTAATGCAACCAGGTTAAATTAGGTTAAGGTCGAAATTGTGCACAAGTCGTTGCATTATGTATCTATAATCTAAATACATATGTGCTATAGAATTGCAACTAAAAATGAAACGATACATATTTATTAAGTGAAATTATTAAAAATTACTAATTCTTGTTGCAATTACTTGTTTTTTCGATAAAAGATAAGCAATATTTAGTCAGTTTCAGAATATATATATATATGTAAAAATTATTAGAAAGCATTGTGTTATTAGCATTGTATAAAATATTCAAGCGTATAATGATTTTTCGAGCGTGTTTTTTTATTCGAAATTTAATTTAATATTCTTATAGAAACACGGCTCGAGAGAAAACGAAGAAAGAGAAAGAAGGAGAACGCACGAGTCACGATACTAGTGGCAATGAAAATGATACAGATCAAGACGGATTCAGACATTACGTTTTATATTTATGCACGGTTTGCGGTGATGCGACGTCGATTTCACGCTGATTTTACGATTCATAAAAAGACTCGAGGATTTTGCGTCACGGGCAGATCCCCTCGTTATAAATAATGTTCCATGCAACGAGAAGAAATTACATAAAGACTTTACAAAAATTTAAGCACGAATTGCGCATCTCTTAAATTCTTTTATAATAAACTGCGTAGAGTTGAAAGTGTTGTAAATTTCTATCATCACGCTTGTCAAGATAAAAAAAAAAAATACCAATAAAATTTCGAAATTTTCTATGTTCCTCTCGTAAATTTTCTTAAAAATAAATATTATCTAACACTCATGTTTCACTAAAAAAAAGTTTCGTAATTATCATTCAACTATCAAATCGAACAGAAATATCTAGATACATAATCATGAATATAGGACTTCAGGCTATTCTCGCTATGCTTTTTTATATTATTCGTTCAAAGTTATCTATGATTTCTATAATAATATTTAATATTATTATTTAATTATCATCGAATTGCGAAAACAAGAAAAAAACAAATTTTCTATTTTTTTATTAACTTTTTTCAATTATTATTAAGTTTACAAATATTCTCTGTTTCATTTTATCTCATTCTGACTCCCTGACTTCTTATTTTTAACGTCACATGCACAATAATGACCTTAAAAACCGGTGTCAAGTAACACTAGTCAATTATTGGAGATAACTTTTCGGATATATAGCCACGAATGTACCCGACCAATTCCGAACAATCCCGAGCAGTGTCGAACAATGGCGAACAGTGGCCACGGATGAAAACATAACCACAATTAACTTCTATAATCGAACGAAAATGATTTTCATTCTACGTACGTCCGATCTATTGTTGGCTTATTGGCAAATCAATCCTAAATTCCGTTATAAATTCTAATTACGTGTTCGATCAAATCCTTCTTTTTCCAGAATACGAACTACCATCGATTTTATCGACCGATCGTATCGTCGAACGGTTGAATTCTTGTTAATTATATCAAGAATGGATAGCACAAGGGAAACTCGTGAATCTTAAAAAAATGACTTCAAGTCAAAACTATCAAACGATTCGTCAAGTCTCCTCCCTCTTTACCAATCCTGCTTACGGGGCCGTGCTCGCCCACTTTGCTACCAGCCTTGTTTAGTGTTCTTTACTCCAGTCGACTGTTCGCCGCACCGGCATCGTTTCTCCTTCTCGAGTTTCAACGCATGGCAAACCGAATTCTACTTTCCATCCGAAAGGAGATTTAAGGGGAATATCACTCGAAAATTTATCAAGAAAAAAATATAGAAAAAGAAGAGGAAAGGGATGAACGAATCAAGATGGAAAAATTCACGAGTATCATTCACAGAGGTACAATCAATCCTGCTCGTTGTATGATCTTGCTGTATCTAGTCATTCTTTGCTGGGGCACATCAACATCCGCGGAAAGGAAGCTGCATGGAACTCCTATGCACAAGGTGGAACTCACTCAGAAGGGATACATTCAGGTGAGAAATTAATCACTGAATAATTACCATCGATAATTCAATCGTCCGTGTTTGCGACGATTAAGCACACGTTTATTCAAATGAAAAATAGGGTCCCCTAACTTGGTAACGAATCTATTTTCTCCGAGTATTCTCTATTTTTGGCGTGTCGCCCGTGCATCGCCCTCGCCATTATCGATTATTCAAGAACGTAGAACTAATCCATTCTACCAGCACCACCTTAAACAGTCTCGCATTACCCAATCCTCGTATACTTAAGGAATTGATTAAGCGCGTGTTGCAGAAATGGTGTGATGGAATTCGAGCTCGTTAAAAATCTACCTCGATTAAAAAGTTACCCAAGATCTAAAAATTAATCCATTTTCTCTCTACTCTTCTCAACCAGTTTCTACGTTGGGAGTTACCCGTGCCAAGATTCACCGAATTCACCTTCTGCCTGTGGATCGAGTCCAACGATCTCACCCATTCTCATCCCATATTTTCATACTCGAGTAAGTATAAAAATACGTTTCTCTACGTAAAAGTGTAAACTAGTCTCGACGTACGCTTTTATTACAACGCGAGAAGAAAGTAACCGTGAAAAGTATTTTCACCACGCTGCGGAAAAAAAGTATCAGGCCGGTCCCGTGTATCGATCTACTTAACATTCCTTTTAAACAGACGTTTATTTAACGCCGCTGCTCTCCGCTTCTTCCCCAACAGAGAACGAGCGAGAACGGCTCGTACGATCGTGGATAGCGGCGAGCGGGAGGAGCGTTCACCTTGAGATCGGTGGCAATCGTGTATTCGCCGCTGCTATCGACATTCTAGAGAATCGATGGTACCATTTGTGCGTGAGCTGGGAGAATCAGGCTGGCCGTTACGGCCTTTGGATCAATGGCCGGCTCTGGACTCAAGGTCGCTCTTACGAGGTACGTGCATTTTAAAAAAAGGAAGAAAGAAAGATCAATCGATCGATCGATTTCAGACGATAGATCATACGATCCCGAGCGGGGGGGACATCGTGGTGGGCCAAGAGTACACCGACTTCGACAAAGGGCTGGACGACGGGATCGAGGGGTCGATCCTGGGCTTCAATCTGCTCTTGGCCTCCGCTTTCGACGAGCAGCTGGCCTCCCACGACTCGACTCAAGTGTCCCGCGCGGGTTACGCCACGGTTCCGCTTTTTGCCAGGATTCCAACGAAACTGTTGCAACGCGGCATCGATTACAAGACGAGAACGAGGACAACTTCTGATCAACGATACGCCGAGGACGCGACATCTTTGCCGCTTGTTGCCGCCGCCCCAACGAGACTCCTCTTCTCCCCGGCCGTGATCCAAGGGAGAATGGAGGTGGCCAAGCGGAAAAAGCAATCTCTCGGGCTGCAATTAGTGAAATTGTCGTATGCACGATGCGAGATCGGCAGGGGAAGCCCGTTCATAGGCGGATCGTTGATGCTGATCTCGTGGACGAGAACGCCGGTGCGTATTTTCGGTGGAGCCGTTTTGAAGAACGTGAACAGCGAGTGTGGCGACTTCTCGATTGTTTGAGGAGGAGAAAATCGCCTCGAGGCGATGCCAAGATACTCTTTGCGCGCCACCAGCAACTCTGATAAGAATTTTTCTGAATTAATAATACTAAGAAAAAAAAAAAAAAGTAATAAATGTATTTTTAATTCGGAGGAGAAAGCGCGTGTTTTTTTCTGATCGACGTTAATTAAATAGAGTGAAAATCTTTTTTATTGGATTGTTACACGTACATAAATGATTGGACGGACGTGTCTCGTGGACCTTTAATCGAATTTCGCGAGAGAAACATGAGAATACGGGTCGTTACGACACGCATAGAAATCGGATAGAAATCGAAAAGTGACGAGCCGGGGCCTTCCTTCGATGGATGAACATTCGTTGCGTTACGAATGCGGGATTAACAAATTGGAACGAATTATTATGAAAGTGCGATGTTAGGATAAGATTTAATGATATTTAATGGTTTTTATAACCTAACGATATTTTATATATTGTTTTATATAAATTATAAATAGCAATCTCTGCAAATGATACGTGACACACTCTCTCCAGGAAAGCTAAAACCGGATAAGCTTCTTTTATTTAATTATTCTCCGTATATTTCACACTTTTACTCGAATTAGACGAAGTATTGTAGATATCCTAAAACAAGTTTCTTTATATTCAATCACAAAATTAAATATATGATTTACTTGAATACTTTCCACGAAAATATTTAATTAAATTATTTCTTACCAATATGTCACTTTTATTAAAATAAAAAATTCAGATATACGTTAAAATGATCGATACAATAAAAATTATTCGAATATGTATCTTGCAAGACTAACGACAATTCGATGAGATAGCTAAGAATGGCGCCAAGAGTCAATCGGTTATTTTCGACTAACGTCGGCAAATTAGTCGAAGATGACCGAACATAACCGAAGATGATCGACTTTTATACGAAAATTCTCGGTTGCCTCGTTGCATTGAAAGTTTCATTAAATTCGTGAGATTTCGAAGTATTCGAGTACTTTTTATTCGATCGATCAATTATCAAATAATCGTATCGTTTGAAATAATAACCTTGATGTACGATATATAAATACGATTTACATGATATAAAAAAATACAAAATTATTTTCAACGAGTCTCGAGATCGTACACGAAGTGAAGATTAGATAATCCTATTAGCAGCTATTTGTTGATGAAAGGCATCGCTATTGTTTCGATTCTCGCTTAATAGTTTAAGATAAAATCTAAGCATACCGGCACGAAGTGCAACAACTTGCCGCAATCTCGAAAAAACTTGAGAGAACAAACGCGTTACAAAACCGCAGATAGATCAATAAACCGAGACGAGACAAAAAAAAAAAAAAGATTGAGAAACTTTTTATGAGCAATACGAAACTTATGTCAAGAATGATAACGCGATCGAAATGCGGATAGACATACCAAGTACACATACGTACAAAAAATTGGCATTTCTTTCCTGGATTTCTCTTCTTAATTCTTTCGAGAAAAATGTATTACTACGTAATCTTTTTTTTTTTTTTTTTCTTAATATCAACTTAATCCATTTAAACGTAGAATCCTTGAATATTTTTAATTCTTTAATTTATTTTTATATTATCACGAAGTCTCAAAAAGACTTAACAATTATGAACACTTTTGCCGAAATTACCGTAAAAAATTTCCAATCGGAGACACTTTAACCATGAGAATGACACAAGACTACATATATCAATAATTCACATAAACAGTTTCGTAATTCGTGTTACAAGTTATACGCGAACGATTCGTTACGCGTAGTCTCTGGATCTATGAATCCATTTAGGGTAAACAGGTTTCTTTTTCTTACGTGATCTTCTAGATGCTCGTTTTCGATCTTTTTTTAGAAAACCAGCAAATAAATTTTATTTCGAGAATACAAATAAAACTGTCCTGTCGCTGAAACAATATAACCGAGAATGCCAAATCGTATTTCGGACGTTTTCGGTTATCATCGGTAAATTAGCCGAAGATGACCGAAAGATGATCGGCTCGTGTCGAGAGACTTCGGAAGTTACGTGCAATGAAATACATTACTCGTTATTTAAATTATCTAAAAAAAAATTCGTCTCTTTTTTAAAATTGAGCTACAAAAAAACAATACGAAATGGATCCGTATAATTTATTTATTTTTACCTCGCTCGTAATCAAAAAATACACTATACGTTGTGAAAAGAAACAAATGAATAGTTACGTAACGCGAAAACTTTACCGTTCGTTTAATAAAATAGGAATATATCTGTTCGGAATATATCTTCAAAACTTTCACCGGTCAGAGAACATTTCCCAATGCTTGATTACGAGAAATCGAAAATCGTTTTTTTCGTACGAGTTGATCGTGCGTTGAACTCGTTTAACAGCATCGATTTCGACCGTGAAACTGCGAAACCTTGTCCGTATTTTGCATTTATGATCCAAGTGCGCAAACCGTTTGCAAGGGTCGCGTGACGGCCAACGCCAGGAATCGACCGTGCCTGACATCATCGTCTCGCTGTTAAGGAAGTAAACTTTGGTTTCACCGGTTCCGACCTGTTCACCGAATTGCTTTCACTTTCACCGAAAATCGCGTGGTCAAGTTTCACGAGCCGCTCTCGACCCTTTTTAACGGTCTCGGTCACGTAATACATCCGACGAAGCGCGTGTTTCGTTCCAGAAAACGATCAGCTCGATAAATCGCGAGATTCTGAACTGTCGAAATGGATTAAAAAGTATTTTTTTTATTAATAAATTAAACTAATTTTTATCATAACTTTTCGATACATACAGTTATTGTTAATAAATTTTTTTATGATATTTTGAAGCTGTGCGATGCCGATTAATAAAAATGACATATTATATATATATATATATAATTATTATTCTATTAAAATAAAATTGTATCAAGTTTATTAAGTTTTTTTATGTAAATTGATTTTTTATTTTTCCTTTCTTCAAACAAAATAATTTTGAGATTTGAAATAGCAATTTTACAAGTAGACATCTCACATAATCTCGCTATAATCGACATTCTGTAGTAAAACCCGCATCACGTAGAACATATTTGTCCAGACTATTTTTTTCTAACATGGCGTAATGAAAACACGCAACAATTTTTTATTCGATCAAGCGCTTCCTGTTCACCATAAAATTCCTACTCGTTTTCTTCCTACTCGCCGGTTTAGTTCTCTCAAATAGGTTGCATCGTCGTAATCGAAAGTAGATTTTACGACTATCACCCTAATTATATAGAAGTTCGATAGAAAATCGAAACTAAATCCCGTATATATCGATTTACATAACCACGAAAGACGGTTACGAAATAATTACGCACAATTCTCGTTAAAGCGCGCCCAGCTGTGGGAAACTGAACTAAAAACTGCAAAAAGAATTACGAAAGGTGGCGACACCATGGATATATATATATCTAGGTTAAAAATGAACGGTGATTGCCTTCTAGCATCGTGATCGATCGTTTTTAACGACGAGAGGACCCTTTTGTCTCGATTCGATTCCAATTGTCGTGCTGAGGCAAGATTCAATGATGTACTCTTGAAAATAGCACGAGTTTGGAAAGACATTCATACGAGGCAACAACTACATACGATTCACGGTCATTACCGACGAACGTGGCGAACAACAGCCGAATAGCTAACTAGTTTCTCGAATGCAGAGTTAAATTATACCAATCTCTCTTGGTAAAAGAAACAATTATACGGATTCTTGAACATATGTAGATGGTATTTCTCGGTTAATAGATGCAATTTTCACCTTCTTTGATTAACGTCCTATGTCAGTAAACTATTTTGATAAAGCGATTTCTAATTATCGTTAACGATACCAAAATGGAGAAAATAATTTTTTACTTTTAGAAAAATCGGATTATTTTCTATTTTACTCATACCACCAGTGAATTTTTCTTGATTGTTCAAAAAACAAAAATTTCTAAAAAATAAGTAGACACTGATCTCGTGTGATTATTAATCACGAGATTAATAATGAATATAATTAATCTAAAAAAAAGTATTAAATATCTAAGAAATTAACCAATGTTAAAAGTTTCCAATAAATCAGTGACTTTTGCACTCTCTTCATAAATGCGGAATACTGTAATTTCCAACATTCCACAAACCAAGCTTTCTTTGAATCGGTCGTCCATCATCGTAGTACTTTTTCCAAACGGTGAGTGTCGCTACAACGCAATCGTGTTTCTGCATCGTTGCAATTACACGCAGAATCGACTTTCATTTTCCAGGGTGAATCGTCCTTTCGCCGTGCCCCGCTCTTTCCTTCCGGTCTTCTACGGAGAAAGGGGACGTCGACGGAAAGGAGAATTCATGTTTCGAGAGGGACAAAGACGGACCCGAAATACATTGGAAAGAGAGAGTAGGTGGTCGAGAAGGGAATTCTATGTCATGAATTCTTTTTTGGAGAGACGTTTCGTCCTCTTACATTCTATATTGGTATATCCATTTAGTAATGGGATCGAGTCTAAAATGTGATACGAATTAATCTTTCGTAACTGATAAAAATTTTCGAATTATAATAAGAGACTATAATTGGCTTTTATTAGAAAATTTTAGAAAAGATAAGATTCGACACTTGAACGAACGAAATTAAAATTAAATTAGTATTAAATGCTGGAAAAAAAAACAATGTTTTCGCTCTAATTCATTGTTATGAAAAGAGCAAAATTGCCATATAATTTTTTTGATTAACGTACTTGTAAAAGATTCGTATCTATTATTATTTCAAAAACATTTGGTCAAGGTCTACTTATATCTACATATACCAAGAAAAGTATCATTCTACACGCACATTTCTCGAACAAGCTTTGTACACAAACGTATTTCGAACGTATCTCGTCGCGGATCAAATCGACGAAGCGAGTAAATATTCTAATTTTAAATAACGAAATTGATATTTATCAATCGTAAGTATTAAATTACATCATACTATCCACCTATGTTATTCGATCCAATGAAAATAAACATTACGCTTAAACGTACATTTAATTTTTTCCTGATACGAGCATCGTTTCAAAAACATTACCCTCTTTCCCTTTTCTCAATAAAAATCTATTCAACTCGTAGTCACTTTCTTTTCTCCAATCCTTTTCCAACCACAGCGCGAATTATCTTTTTTTTTCTTTCTTTCTTTTTCGACAGCTGCATCTCTCACGGTTCCATCCACCCAAGCGAAAGTAGTATCCGATCGAAGTCGGTCCAAGTTCGAGAGGCAGCTCTTCGACATTCTCGCCGATATCCTTTCGCTCCAATTTTCCAAGTCGAGCAAGAATTCGATGCACAAACGGTGCTCGAACCACGTTCAGAATTCCGACGCCCTTCTAATTCCCTACAGCCAGGTAGATGTCGTGGCGAGGAGATAGATTGCACCACCACCGTCCATGGCGTCGTTGTCGATCGATCCAGTTTCGAGTCAGAGCCACCGAAAAAAGAGCTCTCGTGGAAATCGGCCCCGCGAGGCATCGCGACAGGGGAGGGGGGAGAGGAGGCAGCAGCCGAACGTTTCGGCCAACGGAATTTCGCAATGTCATCATTGCGGCCGCGTTTCTGCGCACTTTCTCCCGCGCACGTTCGGAAGATACGAAAATTTTTTTACTTAAATTTTATTTTACCGCCAATATTATTGTTATATGATAATTTAATAAGCGAAAAAGTAAGTGAAACTCGAGGATAATTATTTCGGAATAATAATTATTGAATCGTTCGATCGTGGATTTTTTTTCTTGCAAATTTTTTTTGAACGAATATCATCAACAGAAATTTCCCTTCGTTCTCGAATATTTTTATCTATATATATATATATATATATATATATATATATA